TGTTTTTGGAATCATTTAAATCGGATGTTCCGTTCTCTCAAATACTCCTGACGGCTAGACCTGCCTTTGCCAAAAACTAATCAGCACATTTTCCTATCAATGGGAATCGAATGTTTTTTAAACCATTTAAATCGGTTAATCCGTGCGCCCGAAAACGTGGACGAAAAATTGTATACACACACATCCATTTTTTCTGAGGTATGCCAAAATGTTCAGAAACCTCCCAAATGTGAAGAAATGTAAAAATGTTCAATTTCGACTTTTGGACGTTTACAATAACATACCCTACGGGAAGTTAAAATATGTGCAAAGAAGAAATTAATATGTTGTAAAACATTGAACTGAAATAGAATATGAAATGTAAGTAAAAATGAAGAAGTACGTGAAGCACAATATGACGTAGAAAGAGTTCGCAGGTAGATAATGGCTAGAACCTAAATCTGAGGTAAGTAATATAGATAGCAATATGTTTCCAAGTAAAAATAGCCCTGAACCGGTGGTCCTGCATCAATAAATATTGGCCCTATCACAGAAATTTTAATATTAATTCTCCACTCAAGGATGAAACAACTGTTTGGGTTGCCTTATGTAGAACCGACTAGTATTAAGTCAAATCAGCCTAACAGCTTATATGACTTAATTTCTGATTGTTTTTCAAAAATCTTAAAAAATATATATAAAATGATGTAGAATAGATTTTGATATAAAATAAAATTAATGTAAGTAAAAAAAATACAAATATAAAAAGATGTATAAACGTAACTTATTGATGTCATACAAGTTTGAAAAACTGAATCATATCTAAATAAATAATAATCAAGTTTTGTTTTGTTGTGCAGTAAAATGATATCAAAAACGTCACTGACTTATCAAAATATTTTGCAATAAGTTTATTCTCGTCTTACTTTACTCATGACTCATCAAACTCAATCGAAAAACTGTAAAATAAAGATAAAAGCAATATTCAGATATAATAATAATAATAATAATAATAACATTAATAAGAGGTGAACCACTGGGTTTTCCTTTTAAAATTCCATATTATTTGCTAAACTAATTACTCAATGTCTTTCTATTTAGACAGATTGTAATTTATAAGAAAATAAAAAAAAAATGAAATGGTATTTTTTAGAAACCTTAATTAAATACATATCAATAATACATTCATATCATATAATTTTATATAAATAATCGAATAAAAAATTTTAAACAATAGCATCAAAAATTCTATAACAATTCTAATTGCAAACAAAGTCGATATCACTATATTTAATATCAAACAATATTCGTGGGAATACGTCGATAAGTTTTTGTTTTCTGAAGTGGTTTTGATTCGCCGTCTCCGTTGTGCAAATTTGCCTTTATGCCAAGCTCAGACGCGCGTTAAATTCTGATCTAGTTATGAACTAAGGCTATTGTGAACTAAATATCACCAGCATTTATAGATTATAATGCACACATTCGCTATTAATAGCATCAAGGATGCAAGTCAATGGTCTGCAATTTAATAAACAGCAATTCAAATGAAATACTTTGCATTGTTAGGGTCATTTTCATTAGGCACTAATTAAGGCCTTTTATTGCTTTACAAGACAGACTTCCAAATTTTTGTGTGTCGTGGAACCCTTTGCGCTTTGAATTGGACCCCCTAGTTACCCCATATCGATTTTTTTTATGAATTTCTAACTGTACTAAAAGTTTATTATTAAATGTTCAGAGGAAAAGTACATGTTACTTTTATATATTTATTTGTTTAAAATAATGACAAAACTAATGGGGTGTATGGCATCGTGCCTTAAGACAATTTGCTGAAAGGGGAAGCAAACTCGAGGAATTTTAAATGTTTTCAAATAGATTATTTTAAATATTGTAACATTGTCTAGTATTTATAAGAATTATATAAACTGAATTGCAAAGTTGACATTATTTGTTTAAAGTTTTAGAACTTTAGTCAGAATTAAAAATAAATTCTGAATTATTTTTGATTACAAAAGAAAATCGTTTTTGAAAAAAAAAATTGAAATATTTTTTTTCCCCAAAAGCAATTATTTTGTTAAAACAAGCAGAAAGTTATATAGAAAATTCAAATCGGATGCTTAGATCTCTCAAAAACTGCCATTTTTTTGCACATTTAGCTTTGTATCTTCGAGATGGGTGGACCTGCCTTTGCCAAAAACTAATCACCTCTTCTCCCATCATTACAAATTGAATGTTTTTAGATCATTCAAATCAGGTACTCCGTGCTCTCAAAAACTCGATTTGGATTTTCTGCACTCTTTGCTCCGTATCTGCGTAAGGGCTGGACCTGCCTTTGCCAAAAACTTATCAGCACATCTCCCTATCAATAGGGATCGAATGTTTTTTGAACCATTCAAATCGGTTGATCCGTGCGCCCGAAAACGTGGACGAAAAAATGCGGACATACAAAACACACACACACACACATCGGTTTTTTCTGAGATATGCCAAAATGTTCAGAATCCTTCAAAACGTGAAGATATGCAAAAATTTTCGGCCCATTACTATAACTGCCCTAGGGGAAGTTAAAAAAGTAAGCAAAGAATAAATGTTTAATTATCACTTTGGGTGTAAAAAATCACTGCTGTACACATTTACTATGCATTTATATATTTTTAACTCGAATATATTTTCTTAAGCATACTCAACAAGTCTAGCTTCATATAATAGTAGATAGTAGTAAGATAATAAGATGTACTTCTTACTGGTTAGTTTTTGGATTAGCTTCGAGCTAATAACCATTGAACAAATAAGAAGTCACAGTTGTAATTGAAAACTCGCTTAACGAATAATTCTAATAACGAGCAAATTGCATCCAAATCAAATAAAAAATGCACCATTCATCGGGCGATATTTCGCATTACGAATGTAAAAAGAAGTGATAATCAAAATTGTGCGAGTGTCTATTGATTTGAATAACGAGTGCTATTGAATGAATTATATTAGTTAAACAAGATTTTTTTTTTAAACTTTATTACTAATTATTTTTTCTTTTTATCTTACATACTACATATATTTTACTTTTTCTTTACATATTTTTACTGTTTATTACATTTTTCTTTACGAATATTTCTTCCAAGGGCAGGTCCGTGGGTTGAGTTGAAAATGCACTCAATCATGGTTGCACGATGTCAGAGCCTTTACATTTTTCTGTTGTATAGAGATACAAATTCGACTTCCTTTTTGTATTTCAAAGCGATACCATCTTAGTACCTCTTTACTTCCAAGTGGCGTGTTGCCACTACAGCTTTGCCCACGAAAGGCCATTTTCACTTGAAATCATATTTGAAATCTATGATTTCAAGTGAAAATTTGGTATCAAGCTGTTTTGATACCGAACCGACCGAGTGATTTCAGGGTATTTCATACAATAACAGTGCCAGATAAAAAACAAAAACATTCTACTTTTAATATAATTATGCAAATTAAAAATAACATTGTTGTCTATTACTTTTAAATAATTCATAATAAAGTAATTATATTTTAATGGTAAGCGTACGCAACACTTGTTTTTGCTTACGTTATTAAACCAATATAATTAACCCATTAAAATTGGAATATTGTGTGTGTATGTATGGATACAGTTTTTCGTCCACGATGTCGGGCGCGTAGACCAACCGATTTGAATGATTCAAATAACATTCGAGACCTACTGATGGGGAAACGTTCTGATTTGTTTTTGGCAAAGACAGGTCCATTTCGAAGATACGGAAGAATGCAGAAAATAGAAATCAAGTTTTTGAGAGCATTCAAGCATTCGAATTGAATTATTTAAAAAACGTTCAATTCAAAATGATAAGGAAAATTGATGATTTATTTTTGACAAAGACAAGTCCCGCCGTTTCGGAGATATAGAGCAAAATGTGCAAAAAATGGTAGTTTTTGGGATAAATAAGTATCCGATTTGAATGATTCAAAAAACCTTTTGCTTGTATTGACGAAACGATTGTTTTTGGGGAAAGCAGAAACACTTGTTTTATTTCAATTTTTTTTAAATTTCCAAAAAAAATTTTTGTAAGACTGAAAATTATAATTCTAAAGATCATTTATATACTGGAAATAAATAATTTTAACTTTGCCATTCAGTTTATATGATTCATAGAAATATGAGATAAGATCCTTCATTCTAACTCCGGTTCATGAAGTATTGTTCATTTACTTTTCATGTAAACATACTTAAACGTCGTTGCCTAATTTATAAGCTCTTATTTTTTGTCTATAAAATATGAATAATAACAGTTGAATTTGGAAAAACAACGTATAATTTCAAACATCAACATTTTTGCCAGGACTAATATTTTTTTTAATGTGCTACACAATGATGGGGTTTACTACAAACGGAAATGCAACAAATATAAAACAGAGTTAACAATGTTTAAAACATTGTTTCAGTAATATTTATATGTTTTATTATAAATTTGTCATAAACAAAATATTCAGAGAATGCTTATGCATACAAAATGCATATTTGCATACATATGAGTACATAAGGATTTTCCCATATCTGAATAAGATGCTTGAATAATGAAATATGTTTAGTAAAGAAAATTAAAACATTGATTGAAAATGAATAGAAAAATTATATTTATATAGTATGTGGGTGCATGATTACAAAATTGTTATGTATATTAATTTTACATTTTTCAAATATTAATTTTATAGTCACATACAGAGCCAACAGCGTCGAAATAATTAAAAATAATAAAATAAATAATTGCAATCTGGAAAGTAATTCTAAAAACTGCTTTGCTTTAAGATTCCCTCGCCAAAATAATAATGTCAACAAATTGCGCAATTACAATATATAGACAACAGATACGCAGTAAATTAAATATAGGCCTCATCTCCACAACATATTTGAAGAAATCAGTAGACATGTAATTCATATTTTTAGATTTAGGATAAGGACAAATGGGCACCCCAATTTGCAGTATATGATTCATTCGAATCTGTAAACAAAGGAATATGAAAGAAACACTAACCTCCTAAACCTTCCTCGCCAATTGATTTAGGGGTAGTAGTCATTGTTGTATCTTCACAAAATCCAAGTTTATTAAAATTTAACGCTTTCACCAACACAGATTTTTAAATCACTTTACGAGAAACACTCTTTGCGATCACTAAAACTTCAATGAAGAATGATAACCAGCCGTCAAACTGTCGAGCTCAGCTTTGTTGTTGTTTTGAATGGAAACAAAATGGATGCCATCGGAAACATACAGAAAACTTTGAAAGCATTAAGGCCATCTAACGATACAACAGCAAAATTTCCAGGGGTTTCAAACTAGAAACTAGTGATGTATTGCATCGTGCCTTATGGCAAATTGCTGGTAGGTACTTCAAATATTTTATTTTCAAAAGGAAATATTTTGTCAAAACAAGCAAAAAGTTTTTTGAATCATTCCAATTGGATTCTTAGTTCTCTCAAAAACAGCTATCTTTTGCACATTTAGCTCGATATCTCCTTAACCGCTGGACTTTCCTTTACCAAAAACTGATCAACAGATATCTTCCTATCAATAGGAATCGAATGTTTTTTTAATCATTCAAATCGGTTGATCCGTGCGCCCGAAAACGTAGACGAAAAAGTGCGGACATACAAAACACAAACACATCAATTTTTCTGAGGTATGCCAAAATGCTCAGAAACCTTTAAAACGTGAAGATATGCAAACATTTTTATTTTCGATTTTCGGTCTACTATTATAACTTACCCTACGAGAAGTTAATTAACTATGCCAAAAACAAATCAGCATATCTCCCTATCAATAGGAATCGAATGTTTTTTAAATCATTCAAATCAGTTGATCCGTGGGCCCGAAAACGTAGACGAAAAAGTGCGGACATACAAAACACAAATACATCGATTTTTTCTGAGGTATGCCAAAATGTTCAGAAACCTCTAAAACGTGAAGATATGCAAAAATTTTCATTTTCGATTTTCGGCCTACTAAACTTACCCTACGGGAAGTTAATTAACTATGTACCACAAATAACTAATTATTAACTTCCCGTAGGGTAAGTTATTGTAATGGGCCGAAAATCGGAATTGAAAATTTTTACATTTCTCGACGTTTTGAAGGTTTCTGAACGTTTTGGCATACCTCAGAAAAAATGGATGTGTGTGTGTGTGTGTGTGTGTGTGTGTGTGTGTGTATGTATGTATGGATACAAATTTTCGTCCACGTTTTCGGGCGTACGGATCAACCGATTTGAATGGTTTAAAAAACATTCGATTCCTATTAATAAGGAGAAGAGCTGATTAGTTTTTGGCAAAGACAGGTCCAGCAGTTACGGAGATAAGGAGCAAAGAGTGCAGAAAATAGAAATCGAGTTTTTGAGAGAACGGAGCATCCGATTTGAATGATCTAAAAAACATTCCATTAGTATGATTGGGAGAAAAGGTTATTAGTTTTTCGCAAAGGCAGGCCCAGCCATTTCGGAGATACAGAGCTAAATGTACAAAAAATGGCAGTTTTTGAGAGAACTAAGCGTCCGATTCAATTGATTCAAAGAACTTTCTGCTTGTCTTAACAAAATAATTAATTTTGGAAAAAAAAAATTTTTGTACCATTTTTTTTTTTTTTTTTTTTTTTTTTTTTTTTTTTTTAATTTTTTGTATATCGAAAATAATTCAGATTTTTTTTTAATTCTGACTATAGTTCTAATATACTTTAAACAAATAATTTCAACTATGCAATTCAGTTTATATAATTATTATAAATATTAGACAATATACATATTTTAATAATCTATTTGAAAACATTCAATATTCCTCGAACGTTTCGTTACGGTACGGGAAGTTCCAGCAATTTGCCTTAAGGCACGATGCCACCCACCCCACTAGTTCGTTTTCTAATTAGACTCTTGTAGGACTGATGATATTTTATTAATGTGGAATTACAGTAGAAGTCCTTTAGTCCGACTTCGAAATAGTTTGGAATGTTAGATGTCCGGCATTTTTTCAAAAAAATTGTTTTTTTTTTTTCAAAAATGTGCTTTTATAGCAAATGAAATTGTTCGTACGAAAGATGCAGAATAAAATTACGAATAAAATGATATATAAATCGTTAAGTGTGTTCATATAATTTCATCAAGATTTTGCAATATTTCTTTGCTAAGAACAAAATTTCGAGTCAGTTATTCCTGTGGCAACTTTTCGGATACCGCGCGTTTCAAGTCAGTTATCCCTATGGCAACTTTTCGGTTGCTTCGCGTTACAAGTCAGTTATCCCTATGGTAACATTGCAGATATATATTAAATTATTACTGAAATTTCGTTTATAACCTTATGTATACATATGATTGTATAGTTTTACTTGTCGTCAACGATCATACCATGTTGAATATACCGGTTCTCGTCCGATCACCGAAGTCACGCAACATCGGGCGTGGGTAGTACTTAGATGGGAGACTGCTTGGGAACACCACGTATCGTTGACTTTTTGCCTTAGTATTTTACTGAAATAATATATATAATTACTGTATATTTTGTTATAAAAGATATAAAAATACTGAATATTTTTATATTCGTCTCGCGAGAGAGCTATTGGTACGTTCTCGGGGTGGTCAGACTCATTCGGAAAGACTCGCTACTGTTCGGTAATCTTTGTGACCATGGTAAATTCCGTCGAGATACGTGGCCCTACGTTTTACGAAGAATTCGTCTGTTTTTTTTTTTTAAGTTAGTCTACTGAATTCAGTGGCACATTACACATATATCAGTAGATTTAACCATCAGTTACCACGTTTTTTTAAAACTTAAGTTTTGGTATTCAGAAGGAGAGATATATTCTAATTTTATCAAATGTGATTTTGTAGTTTGATTAATAATATAATTTTTTCTATAATTACAGCCCGATAGTCCAACACAGGGGTCAATCCTGAGCAAGCCAAACTAAAGGATTTCTACTATACTTGTTTTTTATAGACCTATAATTAGAGATTCTTATAATTCATATGTAAGACAAAATCAATATTGATTCAACTGAAATTCTTAAAAATTTAAAAATTTTATTTTATAACAATTTATATAAATTTTAAAAACAAAATACTTTCTTTGCTGATAAATATATTCTTATAAGTTGGTTGTTATGTGCAATCTGCATTGTTCATCCATTTCTTTCTGTATCTTTCAAAAGCTTCCTTAATGCACGAGCTGCAAAAATGGAACGATATATAAATATTAATTTTTTTAGGAATATACTGAAATCCTCATTTACCGGAAAAGACCCTGATGCAGTACATAGGCACTAACATGACCAGCATTAACGTATCGCACCTCTGCTCCAGGCCAAATATCTTCTAGATTGGCCACAATTATCTCTAGGAACATATGCATCATCTTAGCGCAAACAGCTATATAAAATAATTTAAATAAAAATTAAAATTAATAGATACAAAGGGCATGTACAAAAAATGTCTCTAAAATAAATAAGTACCAATAATTAGAGAAGTATCATATGGAATTGAGAAATTACTAAGATGAGTGCATTCATCCATTACACCCCCTCATAAATTGCATTGCTTCTCGCTGCCTCCAATTAAGCTTTTTACATCAAATTTTCTTCATCGAATTTTCCAAAGCATGGCGCTCATGTATTTTTCATACCTTCATTCACAGAAGAGTCAGTAATTTTTTCAATATTTCGTTCTAGAACTCCAACATTGCCATTTTTGATAATGTTAACAGCATTGGGTTCCGAACAACAATCACTTTCAATTTTTTTAAATTCTGATGAATCAATACTATCCTATACCTCTCATTTTCCTCAGCATTTTGATCAAAGCTTGACGGCGTTTCTGAAGAATTCATTTTATTTAATTCACAAATTTCCTGAGAATCAACTCAAACTTTGCATCTGAGGTAATTTTATTTTATCAACCTCCAAAGACATAGGATTATTAATTTTAACAGGCTGATCACTTAAATGACATAATACCTTATTCATCGGCTTGTTAACATCATTATCAATTTTTATAGCACTTAATTTCAAATCCCACTTCTTTGGTGGCTGAACCATCCAAATGCTGTTGCATATCATGTTTTAACTCAGACATGCTTTGGACTAAAATTTTGCACAAAAAACGCTTTCCTGCAGAGAAACGCATCATCACTATGTAACCATTTTAGAAAGCTTTTCTTTATATACCCCATCAGATAAATATTGTGTTTCTAACAGTTCCCAATTAATTGATTGACTTAGAACACCCTAAAATAATATTAATATAATATTAATATATATATTTGATAGTATTTTTTATTACCCTGGTAAAAAACGGCAGAAGCTGTCGACCATGACAAACAAGGAACAAGACTATTGGTTGTTTTTGGCCAATTTGTGGCAGCCAATGAGCCATCTAAAATAATATTCATTAATAATATAATATACTATGAAATGTTGCTTTTCAACAAAATCTCACCTTACATATGGATGAAGTCTTCATCCTTGGCACAAATAAATTTCAAAGTTAATTATTTTTATCTCAACAAATTTTGACAAAAATTGTGTTTTATTTCTACTTTTTTTTTATTACTTTGCCTCATTAATAACTACTGCTATTACTGTACTCACTTTAAATAAAGCAAAAAAAACACATACTCACAGTGTACTCACATGACCACCCATAGAAAGGCCAGTAACACCTAACGGGCCAAAACCATTCCGTTCACACCAATGAAATAGAACTAGCGACTCTAAAACTAGACATCCTCCCATTACGAATATATCGGTCAAATTGTGAAGGCAAGACCGCCTGCAGACAACAAAAACATCTATATCTTAAAAATCAAATATTAGAATTTCTATAATTATTGTGAATAAAAAAAGTATAATGCTAACAATCCTCAAGACATAATTATACTTACACTTGGTCTTTAGGTTTCCTTAAGCCATAGAATGGGTTTTCTAAAATGATAGATCCGATACCTGACTCTTTTTAAAAGAGGTTTGGCCATTATATTACGTCTTCTCCAAAATACTATAAATCGAAATAAATAGTTTCAAAATAAAAATATATTTGTGATATTATATATTGCTTATCATACTCACATGATCTCCTGTGCCAGCCAAATGTAAACACATAGGCTTGAATTGTTGTTCTCTTTCCATTTTAAAGGTAGTAAAATTTGAAAATGGGCAGATTTTGCTGCTTCGGGAACTAAGTCT